TCATCAAAGATCACATCACGTGATATGTAGATCCGTCCAGTACTTTTGTCCAAGCACTTATACCCCTTGTGCATGGCACTATACCCTAAGAAGACGCATAGTTTGGATCGGAAGTCAAGCTTATGAGAGTTATATTTGCGAAGACTTGGCCAGCATGCACAGCCAAAAATGCGAAGAAAGAAATAATCAGGTGTTATGTTGAAGAGGCGTGTGATGGGTGTAGAGTTGTTTAGAGTACGACTGGGCATGCGATTGATGAGATAACAAGCTGTCAAGAAAGCCTCATCCCAAAACCGAAGAGGAAGGGAGGAGTGCGCAAGGAGGGCCAAGCCTGTTTCAACGATGTGACGATACTTTCGCTTGGCCACTCCGTTTTGTTGTGATGTATGGGGGCACGAAACACGGTGCAAAATACCTGAACTCTGGAAATATTTATTAAGCCGGTGATACTCACCACCCCAATCAGATTGAACAGTGCGGATTTTGGAATTCAAAAGTCGCTCAACATGTTTTTGGAAATTATAAAAGATTTGTTCAACATCAGATTTATTCTTAATAAGATAGATCCAAGTATAACGACTGTAATCATCCACAAAACTTACATAATACTTAAAACCTCCAGTAGATGCTTGAGCTGGCCCCCAAACATCGGAGTGAATAAGCTCAAGTGGAGATGTGGTGACACGAACAGAATTATTATAGGGGAGTTGATGACTCTTTGCACGCTGACATGCATCACACACAGAGGACTCATAATCAAAAGAACAGTCTAATTTATTTAACTTCAAGATGGACCTAACAATTGTGGAAGTAGGATGACCAAGACGCTGATGCCATTGCGATGACGACACCTTGACACTGGACGATGCATGATGGGAAGTGGTGGAAGAGGAGCGGCTGGACGGCACTGGATAAAGACCTCCTCTGCTCCTACCGCGTAGAAGCGTTTTCTTCGTGGCCTTGTCCTTAACAAAGAAAGCATCAGCATGAAATTCAATGAAGACATTATTATCAGAAACAAGTTTATGAACAGAGAGGAGATGCTTATTGATATGAGGAACATGAAGGATATTTTTAAGAGCAAGAGGACGATCTAAACCGGAAATTATAGAATGACCAATATGGGAAATATGCAAACCTGCTCCGTTGGCCACTTGCACCTGATCCTTGCCATGGTAGCGCTCCTGGATGGACAGCCGATCTAGATCACTCGTAAGATGATCCGTAGCACCAGTATCAATATACCAGTTTGTGTCACCGTTGTAGCCTCCCGTGGTCGCACTGTTTCCACCACGATATTCATCTGGCTGATAGGAGTGATTGAACCTGTTGCGACAGTTCAACGCAATGTGGCCTGGGATGCCACACACTTGGCAGCGAGGGCCACCATTGTTCCTGCCACGGCCGCGGCCTCGTCCGCGACCACCACCGCCGTTGCGGTAGTTATTCCTATGGTTGTTGTTGGTGGTGGTGTAGCCGTTGTTGCTGTTGTTGCGACGAGGAGCGTTGGATTCCTGGCGCGTGACGTTGTTGGCGGATGACGTGAACTCCGCCGTGCCGCTCATCAGCGTGGCTTGGGTCTCATGAGAAATCAGATAGGAGTAGAACTCCGGAAGAGTCACCGCACGCTGATTGCTCAGCACAGTGATGGCGGTGAAGAGATCACTATGGCCCGGCCCCAGACCGGCGAGTATGTAGCCGATCACCTCTTCATCGGACATGGGACGTCCAATGTGCGCCATAGTATCAGCGAGTCCCGTCATCTTCTGATAATACTCTGCTGCGCTCATGTCGCCCTTTCTCGTGTTCGAGAGCTGCGCGCGGATCTGGATTGAGTTCCCGCGGTGCTGAGCGGAGAACATGGTGTGGAGTGATGCCCACAACTGGCCGGACGTGTCGATCTAACCGATGAGTTGAGGCAGAACGTCCTCTGTCATTGAGGACAAGAGGCCACCAAGAATGGCCTGATCCTGGACGATCCAGGTAGCACGGGCAGGATTCAAGACCTGCCTTGCATCGGTGTCGGTTCCCTCAGTCACCATGGCGATGGGCATCGGTGTAGTGCCATCGAGGTATCCAAAGAGCTGGCACCCCGTAAGATGGGAACGACTTGCGCCTTCCAAAGCAAGAAATTGGTGCGCGTTAGCTTGCAAGTGATAGCGGTAGCGATGGTGGAAGACTTGATGAAAGAAGGCATGGTAGAGTCGCTCGGGGAGGAAGCCAGGATGCCGGAGATTTGTGAGGTAAGATCGGCGCCGGAACCCGTCATGGTGATGGAGGGGGTAGATTAAATTGGCTCTGATACCAAGACAAGAATATAGAATTTGCCTTAATTCCCCCGTGGGTTTCATTCTCTTTATATAGACAATTTGTACATGGTAGGGATTACAACAGATCCTAACAATCAGATCCTATATAACAGGCCAATCCCTACAATCAAGCTATGCCATGATTTACATGCCTATAGGATTGCTAACTACCTTGTTTACAATCCCTACAATCAAGCTATACATGCCTATAGGATCGCTGACTACCTTGTTTACACACTACCTTGTTTACAATCCCTACAATCAAGCTATACATGCCTATAGGATCGCTGACTACCTTGTTTACACCATAGAGTTCGATAACCATACCCATGTCGGCAGTAGGGGGCTTGACTTATGTTAGGGCTTGTGTTGAGATCGACCGATAGATGGCTTGAAGGCCATCTATTTTCTCTCTTATAGTTAATACGTGTGCTTGGGAGTCCTTGAAAATTGAATAAACCGACGATCTTCCCATGAGTGCAACTTTAAAGAGACGCGAAAGTACAAGCCTATGGGGTCGCTTCTGCAACTGGATAATCAGCACTGAAAACCGTCTTTACATTGGATGGTTCAGTGTTTTGATGATCCTTACCTTATTGACCGCAACTTCTGTCTGTATTTATTATCGCCTTCATTGCTGCTCCTACAGTATATTAATATTCGTTAACCTACTTCTGGGTCTCTACTTTATGGAAGCAATATTCTCTCTGGTGCCATTATTCCTACTTCTGTAGCTATAGGTTTGCATTTTTACCCGGTACGACGGGCACCCAAAGACCTGGCGAATAATGGTCCACTCCACCAGAGCGCTTATGTCATATGGGAACTAATGGCTGTAAACAATCCTTATGATTTTGATATCCGGTAAGAATAATAAGAATCAAAGTCCAGGTTGCCATTGTTGGTCTTGCTAAGGAGAAATCTGGCCCAATCTAGAGTTGATGGGTCTTAAACAGAAGTTAGGAATCACTTTTAACCCAAAAGCTATAGCTATCAGGTATTAGCCTAAACTCCTTTTTAAACTCATTACTCTTCCTTATCTTATCAAATGTATGACTGTACTCACATATTAATCACATATTAATATTCGTTAACCGTAGGAACTTCCACAACTTCACTCATGGTGGCTAACTAGACTATATCACTCCTACGGGCATCCGTGGATTCTCCCGACACCTTCGGGCTTCACATTCACATCGAAGATCATCTGTTTTTTTAAATTACTTGGACCATGACCTTAGCTCTGATACCACTTGTTGGGGAAGAAATCCAGCCTATTCTAGAGTTGATGGGCCTTAAACAGAAGTTCGGAATCAATTTTAACCCAAAAGCTATATGTATCAGGTATTGACCCAAATTCCTATTTAAACTCATCTTTTCTATGTTATCCGATGTGGGACTATACTTACATATTAATCACCTCAACAGGTCGGAGGTGACAATCCGTGCAAAGAAATCACCTATAAATTTCTGAAAGAAAACATGTAGACCGAAGCATGTGAAAATTCCTACAACACATAAGTTTCTGGAAATTCACTGAAAGAGGGCAATCAATTATTAAGAATCCCAAATCTCAACTGAAAAGAGGAAACGACACGGTCATAGATAGATAGCTGATTATTTTGTTATTCTTAGACCTATAGAGAGAACTGATAGCAGCGTACACCAAATCAATTTATATACTGATTCATACAAAGGCTGATGTACACCTAGTATGCCCCCCCCCCCCCCACCCCCCAAAAAAAAAAAAAAAAAAAAGGTCTCGAAGGGTGTCTATTGTATGGGAACCCAGGCAAATATAGTTTGGCTTTGATGATCTTTACTTGTAATATTTCGCACTTAAATTGCTCGAGCAAGTGGCCAGCTGATTAAATAAGTATTGTATGTACAAGAATCTAAAACTAAGAGAACCATAAAGATTGATGCGAACAATTTCTTTCAGGTTGCGTTTGGATTCGAGGATTTGATTTCAAATTCTAGAATTAAATTCTGAAATTTAAAATCCAGAATTTCAAATTCAATTCCTTCGTTTGGGAAACATTCAAATTTGAATTTCAGAATTCAATTTGAAATTCATGTTTGGTAAACTTTAGAATTTCAATTTTAAAATTTTCAATTGAGTTGTTTGTCAACTAGTAGAATTCTAATTTCTGAATTAAAATTGTAGCTCGAATATAATTTAGAAATAAGATATTCAAATTACAAAAGGTTTGCATCGAAATTAGTGGAAATAAATGACTCAAATAGTATATCACATATCCAACTAACTTGATATATAAATAAAATATCTTAAAATCTCAAATATAGTAATGTCAATAGTTGACCTAATAATCACCATAAAATAACCGAAATCATTCATCAATAAAACATTGTAAACTCATCCACCACTAACCAAAATAATAAATAAAGTAGAAACTTCAAATGTTGCATATAACAATTCAACAAACTAGAGATCGAAAATATCCAACAAATACAAACCAACAAAAGTTAATAATTCGTCGTTACATAGTATCATGCTTAAGTTGCTCTCGCACTAGTTTCTTTAAAACTTTTACATCTGATTCAAATGAGAGTTTCTTTCTAATGCTTATACACTTTCACTTTGTATTTCTTTTGTAGTTTTCTCCCATCGGTTCAGAAAGTCTTACTTTGTGAGTTCTTGAATTACCTGAAACAATAACAAGAAGACCAAATCAGCTCCATTCTTAATCGCTCGGTTGCAGAATATACTGAAGAATTTTACATGCTAATGAGTCCCACTAACCTAAATAAAATTGATGAACAACATGTGGAGAGTTCAATTTAAGCCAGAATGATGAAACCATGTGATTTCCATACAAAATGCTTGTACTAAAAAGAGCATATATTTCAGCATAGAGAAAACTCGATTATCGGTGACGCCTAAAAAGAAAACTCGATTAGGTAACAACATAGAGAACACTGACAGGATAAAATCAGACAATTAAAAGAAAAGAAAAATAAGAAGGAAAAAAACCCCTCAGTGAAACAGGATGCAGTTTCATAAGGACATGGAAGAAGAAGCAATAATTGAAAAAAAACAGAAAAAAGAGTGATAGTAGACAGTAGAATACGAGCGCTAAAGTCCTTAAAAAACTAACATGTACGTGTGGGATAACCTAAAACAATTGTTTAAAAATGAGAAGTTGAATCCACACTTTTTTAAGCACTTCTAAGAATTAGATATTAGCAGCTAGCCATACCTCCATTGCAGCTTGCTTGGGGTCCAATGACTCAAATTCAACAAAGCCAAAACAATTATGTTCCAGCTGCAAAAACAAGCGACAATACATACAGACTAAATGCACACTTTCCTGCTTTCTTCTCCAAATAAATCTGAATGCAGATTGAAGAATAAATATGTTCTAACCTTGTGGCTTCTGACTTGTACGCCTTGCGGTTTAATTGGTCCAAACTTCTTGAATACCTCCTCCAATTGAGCAAGGCTTCTGACTTGTACGCCTTGCGGTTTAATTGGTCCAAACTTCTTGAATACCTCCTCCAATTGAGCAATAGTAGCATCCAGAGGTAAATTACGAACGAAGATGGAGTGACCTCCTACAGGAAGTGAAGAGAAAGATCAGAGTTAGAACATGCTGTTGGCCTTCTTGTTTTGATGATGATTTACAAACAATTTACTACTAATGTTGTTTGTCTAATGTTTGTGTATTCCTATGTATTGTAGACAAACAACGTTGTTGGAGGATGGATGGAATAGAGCTTCAACGATGAAATCCAATGGAGGTTGGCGGAATGTCGGTGAAGCCTTGCTATTCAAAGTTAAAGATCAAGTTCAAGCTTCATCCGCAACGTGTACCAAGTCAAGCTTAATGGAAGATCAAGATTGCTTGGGTAATGTAGTTTAGGATTTATATTATGTGTATTAAGTACTCTAAGCTCAATTATCTATACACACACATTTTATTGGTTTCCTTGTATATATATGTAGTCACATATATATACAACACAAGTTTTAGTTTTCATGTTTATAAATATGAAATTACATGTTTCATATTTATTATTGTGATTTGGTTTATCTACTTAGATATGAAACAAATATATTTTATTAACAAGCTTATATTTAATGAAATCATATTTAGTGTTTTTGAATATATTGCATAGAATATGCAATTTTATGAAAATATTATTTTTCTAGGTTATAGACTTCATAACAACATGTTATATCTTTTATCAAGTCTATACAATCATTTCATAAAGTTTTAAAATGTTATTTAAGTCAAAATATCAAAATATCAATTTTCAGGTTTTCATGTTTTTGAACTATTTTGTAAAATGATGATATTTTTCATTTGGGAGGTCCTTTCTGATAACCAGTCGCTGTAGCATGTTTATTATCATGTCTACAATCATTCCCCAAAGTTTTACATTTTTTGGAATTTATTTGATATTTTTAAACAGAATTTTAAAACCAGCAAAACAGTTTTTGAATATGTCAGTTTTGAGGTCAAATGTTCACTGGGCGACAGAGAGACTGTCGGTCGACCGGTCCGGTCGACCGATGAAAATTTTCGGTCGACCGATGAATTTTTCGGTCGACCGACGAGGTCTTTTTCTGCTTCCAACGACTAGTTTTTTTACCGTTGTTTTTTGTCTTTTGCTCACGTTTTTGGCTGAGTTGTGAGAGGGTATAAATACCCCATTGCCTTCAACTTTCAAGGAATCCAAGAGAGTTTTAAAACAAGTTTAAGAAAGTTTTAAAAAGGGTTTATGTTTGGTTTAAGTTTGTTTAAAAAGTTTCAAGAGTTTGTTTATGAAGAACTTTCACAAGAGCTTGAGGAGATCATTCTTTGGTGTTTGGGCATTCAACTCTTCTCCCTCTCTCTCTTGTCATCTATAGAGAAGTTTTCTTAAACTCAATTCTAGCATTTTATAAGTTTGTTCTTAATTTCATAAGCTAGATTTCATATTGAGTTTATATTGTTTTATCTCTTTGTTCACACACAACCTATTAAGCTTATTGTATTTACATTCATAGTATAATTTAGGGTTGTGGGTTTGTGACATTGAGAGTGAGCTTAATTGAGTTCTCACATTGTTTAGAGAACAATCAATTGATTTGTATTGTCCCTAATTGTGAGGATTCACTTGTAATACACTTGTACACCGAGAGAAGTGTGTGGTGAGAGACGGGGTCGAATCCAAGAGGAGTGACGTCGGTTGACGTGCCTAGGGAGAGGTTGTAACCGAGCACTTGAGGAAGAGAACACGGGCTAAGACCAACACTTAGTGTGTGAGGTGTGATTGCATAGTAATTGTATTGTGTGGTGTAAACGTTATTCGGGTGAACGTAGAAAACCCGGTTGTAATAGTGGAGATCTCCTCGAGGTGAGGAGCGGAGACGTAGGTCGTGGGGACCGAACTCCGTAATCATATTGGTTGTTTGTGATTGCATTGGCGCACTTACTTTTATGTTCATATCTTATATCGCCTTTGTATATTGCTTGTTGATTATATTGCCCACTATCTAGTTTAGATTGTTTACCCTTGAGTTTATATATCATTGCACATACATTGCATATACCTCTTTGTTAGGATATATCTTGTTGTTCATATTGCTTATCCTAGCTCATATACATTGTTGTATTTCATACTTGCTAGGATAACTTATTAATTAAGTTTTAATTGGCATAAAATCGGATTAGATTAGCATAAGACCCTAATCACCCCCCCTCTAGGGTCTAACAATTGGTATCAGAGCTTGGTGCTCTTTGATTTAAGGTCTAACCACCTTGAGTTAAAGATCCAAGTTATCTTATTTGTGCTAATCTAGTTATGATTACTTTTGTCTTGCTTGCATATTTTCATATATATATCATGAATATAAATGTATTTCGTTTAGGCTATGAATCAAATGTTGCTCCTAAATTCATTAATTTTCCCTATGCTCAATGGGCTTCTAGATTTAAACTATTTATTGAATCTAAAAATATCGACTTATGGAAAATTATTGATTGTGCTTATATTGTGCCTACATTAGAGAAATCTAAGCGGAGCAATCATGATAATAAAATGTTTAATATGAACAAGCTTTTGGTAGAGTATTTGCTTAATGCCTTTGACTCATCATTTTCTAACAAATTTGTTCATTTTGATAGTGCTTACAATTTATGGAAATTCATAGAAGCACATCAAGGCAACTTAGAGAAAATCCAACGTAGTTTGGAGGATTATTCTTCAAGTGAGTGTGGAGCATCATCATGCACACGGCCACTAGGCGATAGCCCTAGTGTGGTAAGCGATTCGGAATCCGATAGTGATATATCCATCAATGAACTCGCTAGTGCATATGAGAAATTATCGCATGCCTACTCAAAATTACAAAATAATTTTATTGATCTTAAAAGCAAGCATGTTAGTTTAAAATCCGATCATGAGAAGCAAGTTTCCAATTTTGATATTATTTCTCAAGAAAAAGTTGTTCTTAAAGAAATTAATGATATGTTAAAATTGGAAAATGAAAAATTGACTTCATCTATATCTAGCTTAACTCATGCTAATAATGATGCCATGATAGAAATAGAAACTATTAGAAATGAGTTTAATTCTTTTAGAAATGATAATGTTTCATCTACTTCTATTTCCTATACATGTATGCAAATAGAAATGATAATGTTTTATCTACTTCTATTTCCTATACATGTATGCAAAATGTTGAGTTGAGTCAAGTTAAACATCGCATATCTTGTTTAGATTCAACCTTAAAAACATGTATGGTAAACCATGATAAGCTTATGAACATGTGTGCTAAGTCTCATGCTACTACACCTAAACATATCACACATCATGCACACATGTATAGCAAAATTTATAAGTGCTCTATTTGTGGTCGTAAAGGCCATTTATCTAAATTTTGCTATGATGCACAAAAATCTAAAAATAGTAATATCAATGCTTCTTGTGCATCTCATAAGGCTTCTTCATCACACACACATGTACATGCACACACTCATAAAGTTCATCACAAGCATGCTCATGTGTATAGATGTGATCATTGTGGTAGATTTGGTCATTTGGCCAAATTTTGTTTTGATTTAAAGAAAGTTTCACATTTGCAAAACAATTTTAAAAGACCATCCATGTTTGCAAATGTTTCTAATGTTTCCCGTGCACAACCGTTTGGTCAACATAAGCAAATGCTTCCTTTCCATTGTACTTATTGCAATCGGAAGGGTCATTTGAGTAATTTTTGTTATGACCGTGTTCGTGCACCATATGCGCCTAAGAGGGTTCATAACCCTAGGGCTTTGAGCTTTATTGATAGGGGTCATGTCCCTAAACAATCCGGCACCAAGAATGCTTGGGTGCCAAAATAATTTTTAAACCAAGAATTTTAGTGTTTTTATTTTTCTCTTTCTTGGTTTTGAAAAATGCATTTTAAACTTTTATGAAAACAATTCCTTTTATTGGCTAAATTCTTTTGTTTTCATGATCATTGGTTTTGCTTTAATGAGAGGTTTGCATTTATATAACCCTCCGGGTTTATTGGGTGTTTATTCCCAAATCATGTTTACCGGATGCTAGAATGATTATATGGGTTAGAACAAGCTTAAGAGCTTGATATATTGTTGCCTCTCTTGAAATTCTTTTGTTAAAGATTTTGTTTTGATTTGTTGCTTTGAATTCATTATATTTCACTTATATGATGATATTTATATGTTTGTGCTCATGGATCTGTTGGCCTTCTTGTTTTGATGATGTTTAACAAACAATTTATTACTAATGTTGTTTGTCTAGTGTTTGTGCATTCCTATGTTTTGTAGACAAACAACGTTGTTGGAGGATGGATGGAATAGAGCTTCAACGATCATATCCAAAGGAGGTTGGCGGAATGTCGGTGAAGCCTTGCAATTCATAGTTAAAGATCAAGTTCAAGCTTCATCCGCACGTGTACCAAGTTGAGCTCAATGAAGATCAAGATCAAGCTTGGGTAACTTAGTTTAGGATTTATATTATGTGTGTTAAGTACGTTAAGCTCAATTATCTATACACATACACACTTTGGTTTTGGTTTTGTATATATATAGTTATATATATATACATATATGTTTTTGGTTTAATAGGTTTCGAGTTTATATATGAAACAAATGAATAGAATTAGAAAATACTATTTTGTTTCATGTTTATATGCCTATATATGATTTGTCGACCGGTGCGGTCGACCGAGAGCTCCATCGGTCGACCGCACCGGTCGACCGGATAAGTGTTTGCTTGATTTCCTGTTTTCGACCTGGATAACGGTCGACCGAACTTTCCATCGGTCGACCGAATTTTTCCATCGGTCGACCGACGGAATTTTCGGTCGACCGACAATATAGCCGTTGCTTTTTAACGGCTCTTTCTCTGAGCTGTTTGCTGGGGTTTTTGGTCATTTTGTTTTGGGGGTTTTTGCTGAGATTTCTAGTGGGTATATATACCCCATTGCTGATGTCTTTTCAAGTGAGCCAAGAGAGTTTAAAAACAAGTTTAAGAGAGTTTTAATCAAGGGTTTATGTTTGGTTTAAGTGTGTTTATAAGCTTTTAAGCATTTGAGTGTTTTGGTTTTGTGAATCACTTCCACAAGAGCTTGAGGAGATCATCTATTGGTGTTTGAGCATCCAACTCTTCTCCTTCCACTCTTGATCTATTGAGAAGTTTTCTAAACTCAATCTAGCTTCATATTTTATATTGTTTGATTATCTTTTTATTAAGCTAGTGTTCATATTGAGTTTAGTTGATTTTATTATCTCTTTGTTCACACACAACCTATTGAGCTTATTGTATTTACATTCATAGTATAATTTAGGGTTGTGGGTTTGTGACATTGAGAGTGAGCTTAATTGAGTTCTCACCTTGTTTAGAGAACAAATCATTTGATTTATATTGTGCTTATTGTGAGGATTCACTTGTAATACACTTGTACACCGAGAGAAGTGTGTGGTGAGAGACGGGGTCGAATCCAAGAGGAGTGGCGTCGGTTGACGTGCCTAGGGAGAGGTTGTAACCGAGCACTTGAGGAGGAGGACACGGGCTAGGACCAACACTTAGTGTGTGAGGTGTGATTACATAGTGATTGTATTGTGAGGTGTAAACGTTGTTCGGGTGAACGTAGAAAACCCGGTTGTGATAGTGGAGATCTCCTCGAGGTGAGGAGCGGAGACGTAGGTCGTGGGGACCGAACTCCGTAATCATATTGGTTGTTTGTGATTGCATTGGCGCACTTACTTTTATGTTCATATCTTATATCGCCTTTGTATATTGCTTGTTGATTATATTGCCCACTATCTAGTTTAGATTGTTTACCCTTGTGTTTGCATATCCTTACATATATCTCATTGTATATCTCTTTGATAGGATATATCATCTTGTGTTAGTTTATATATCCTTGGATATACATATTCATCATATAGGATATATCTCTTTGTTTGCATTGCTTATCCTAGCTAATATATATTGTTGTATTTCATACTTGTTAGGATAACTTATTAATTAGTTTTAATTGGCATTTAATCGGATTAGATTAGCATAAGACCCTAATCACCCCCCTCTAGGGTCTAACACATGCAACCAGTAAATAAAAATGGTGATCGTTTCAGGTGTTAGAGGGCACCTTTATGGGAATCATTCGTCTCTGACGTACTATTGCTACCACTAGTCGTGACTTTAGAAGCACGAGCAGATGTTGTTGAAGGAAGAGGCACTTTCTCAGGTTTTGGGAAGACTGGCTTCGCCTTCGTAGTTGGCACATGAACGGATATTGGTGATGCATTGACCTTCACAAGCTATATTGATAGAAATGAAAATATGCAGAAAGGAAAATTGAAATAAAAAACATGTAATAGCTTTAATTTAGCATGCTAAAATAACAGACATCATAAACACATATTCAAAGGAAAAGCCGCAGATTCATTCATCTTATAAAGGCATCGTTGGAACTTCAAGACCATCAGGAGGCCAAGTATACCGAGTGAAGAAAAATTATCACTTAATCATCACATCAAAAAAAATCATAAAAGGACATCTCAAGAACATATCATAATAATGATAATAATTCAACGGCAAATTAAAACTTCTATGGAGGGAACACTCACAATTGATGCATAAGACTTTGGTGAATCCTCTCGCGCTATAGGTGGTAGTACCTTAGGAACCTCTTCTGTGTCTACATTTTCTGCAAACTTAACCTCTGCTTTTGGACTTCCATTTTCTGCAATGTCATTTGGACCTCCATTTTCATAAAGCTCCTCAGAAAGCAAAGTTGTAGGGTCACCTGTACGAAGATCTTGAACTGAAAGAACATGCAGCAAGAAATGTATATGCCAGTCACAAAAGGGTTTTATAATTTTAGTTGAAAATGGATATAAAATAGAAAACATTATATTTTAGTTCGGTGCCCACTAACACACATATATCATCACAGTTCTCAATAGCTTTGTTTTGATATGCCTTGGCATCTGAATTTACCTATGCAAGCATGAGAACATACAAAAACATAGTGAGACAATCTAGTAACACAGCACCAGAGAGAGAGAGAGAGAGAGAGAGAGAGAGAGAGAGAGAGAGAGAGAGAGCATATAAAAAGCTGAGTACATAATGGTTTAGAATCTTGAGAAGCAAGCAAGTCAGTGCATACTACGAATAGAAGCCATCAACAGGGCAATTAATATCCTGCTTAAACGGATGATATCATAGTACACTGACAGGTCCGTAGATGGGTTGGTTAGTATTAATACAACTTATATATTTCTAAATAGAAATGTCTGCAGGTAAAGGAAAATACCAGCTACAAGGGTCGGGATCACTTTCCTATATATTTGTCATGTGATACGACTTCATATAAAGTTTGCGTCCAACTTATATTCCTACATTGTTAAGGACTGCCCTTATGATTCTCATAGAAAAAGGCAATTTGCATAACCTTGCGCATAGTAATAATTGGCAAACCATGTTTCAAATTTGTAAATAAATTCCTACATTGTTAAGCTGTTTCGGGGACTTTAGTCAGGCCTCTAAGCCTTTCTCATTTTCATCTCTTTAGGACTCACTCAATCCTCAAGGTTATGCAAGTTAGAAGAATACATGTTCTTGTTTGTTGCAGTTTGTGTGGTAATACACTCAATCCTCAAGGTTATGCAAGTTAGAAGAATACATGTTCTTGTTTGTTGCAGTTTGTGTGGTAATAGTTTCAATAGCTCTTTTATGTTTCGTTAGAAGAATACATGTTCTTGTTTGTTGCAGTTTGTGTGGTAATAGTTTCAATAGCTCTTTTATGTTTCGGATATTAAGTGGCTCTTTAGGACTCACTCAATGTTTTCCTGTCTGCACCTCAATCAAATTCTTGAGTGTTTTTTTGAAACAGAAATTTATTACCACACAAACTGCATGACCAGATAAACGACGAATGAGATTATTACTAGATCTACAAATTCTTAAGCAATTCAGTCAACAAACATTTAATTACTAACATCATGAGATCCAATCATACATAGCTTAACAAATATATAACCGAACACCCAAAAAAATCACAAAATATCACAAAAATTCGAAAAAATCTCAGTCCGCAAGCTAATTTCCAACTTAATTTGCAAAATTGGAAATTCAATTCATAAAACTAGAATACAAACCTTTGGCTTAGGGTTTGAGGAGCCGATGAAGGGCTAAGATTGGCTGGACATTGTTGAAGTGGAGTTGGAGTCGGAGATCGAGCTTTTTAGGGTTTCGGCCTCGAAGAGGAGGGAGTGGAGGTCGTCGACGGCGCGAATGAAGTCCTTGGATCGGGTGAAGAGGCGGAGGTTGTGGAGGAGGGCCTCGAGCTTGGACTGGGCGAAGGCACAGCGGATGAAGGGGGAGAGGTCGTCGCCGTTGGAGATGGCGGCGGGGAGAGATCTCGTCGTCGTCGTCGCCACCGCCGGTTGAGAGATCGCGAGGGGGGAATCGCGAGAGCGGGGGGAATTTGTGAGAGCGGAAATGGAGAGAGAAGAAACAGGAATTACAAATGACAGCCTATCAATCGGGATTTAGAATTATGGGCTTAGTATAGGTTTAAACTGTTAAATGGATTTGGGCCAATATCTAGTATTCAAGTTCTTATGGATCCAATACTAGAATTGGGTCAAATACACTATTTGAAATGAAATTCTAGTTTCCAAACAGGCCCTCAAGGAAATTTAAATACTAGCCAGACATATAAAACATGATGATGTCTCTCCACAATATGAAACAACCAAAAGTAAAATAAATAGTATGTCAAATGAAATTCTTAGCTACAAGCCTAAAACTCAAGTTAGCATTATAATCTATGTAGATACGTATATCAGATAGACCAAACACGTATCTGACAAATGGAATAGCTAATTACCCTTTCTATACTATGAAGATCAACAATAGAACTATGAAAATGAATGATTAAATCAATAAAGTCAAGTAATCTAGAAAATTTAACTCCCATTTTAATTTTCAAGCAATAACATGATATATTTTTAGAGAAAGTAGAGTGCAAAAAAGTAATAGAAAACAGGGTAAACCTGAATCTGAGAATGCGATGAGCAATACCTTCATTCTTTTGGTTCCATTGCTTACTTGACCTTCTAGCCATTAGGGAAGAACTACGGAAATTTTATCAAAGAAATATCTCACAAGTTTGCAAATTAAAATTTACAAGTTTGCAAACTAAACCTAATGGCTTTTATTTGGTATGTTTTTTTGGATGTTCATGGCAAAATCTAGATTCAAATTCTTGCAGTTCATATCTCCGCCCAAGACTTATCAGGAAGCTATATTGGTTACCGACTTGTAAGCAGAATACACAGCTATGACCAACATGAATTGTGAGATGATGTGGTTGAAAAATCCGATGGTTGAACTTGGGTTTCAGCAAATTGGTCCAATGCCCAAGCATTGTGACAATAAGGTAGTGACTTATATTGCAAAAAATCCAGTCTTTAATAAGAGGATTACACCTATCGAGGTAGATTGTCATCTTGTAAGGGATACAACCATGAAAGAGTTATATGCACACACATTCACCAATCACCAAGGCTGTCTCTCTTAAAAGTATTTTTCTTTTTATAGAACAAGTTGGGCATGATAAATATCTATCCTCCAGGTTGAGGGGCAGCGATAGAGCTATTAGGTTATGTGGTTGGGTATTAATTCAAAGCCGTATCGGGTTAGAAACCTGTATCCACAACTTACTGTATATCCTCTCTTGAACTCTATTGGAATAATTTAATTCTCTTTGTTTTCTTATTATAACAACATTATACCAGCGAACGCAATATAGTGTGCGCTTTAATAGAAATGCAGAAGATTCAAATTAGCATCCTCATAATTGCATATCAACCAGAGAAAATGTACTAAGTTTAAGATAAATTCTTTCGATTTGTGAACTAGTTGTGATTCTTGTGAAGAACTACAGAAAGGGGGGAACATATGACCGAGAGAATCATTTTCTCGTCTTATTATCCATAAAGGATGAGCCTTTTTGTCAAGAATCTATAGCAAACACATCCAATCCCTTTAACAAGAGCAACAACCAATAAAAAATATTAATGCCAACAGTTGTGAGGGTTAAGGTTTATAGTTTTATATTCTAACATACCCTCGCAAGCTAAGCAGCCTTTTGATGAGCCAAACCTAGGCTCACACAACAATGTCAAGTTTAAGAAAATTTGTTTTAAATTGATGGCCGACAGGATTTGCACCCAGGCTGCTCTGATACAATCTTAACATCCCTAACCATTATGTCAAAAGTCAAAAGGTTTTGTGAAGGTTGAGGTTTATAGTTTTATTCTACCACAATTCATTAACTGCGGATAACATGCATAAGGATCAGGCCCTGCTTACATAGCTTGCAATAGAATCAAGCCGTAAACTAAACATAATTGGAAATACTACAAATCCTTCATTAATCATGTAAAATAAGAATTCTTAATATTCCAAGTAACTGATAGTTGTATAGTTAATCATGAACACCAAAAGACCTTGGTGGTCATGCACACGCACAAGAACAGCAGCACAAAAGCACATATCACTTACCAAAGGAAAGAAGAACAAGCAGAACCTTCCTCTTCCTACCACATCCCACCCAAACAAAATATGCACTCTAAGCTTTTAACAAGGTGCAGTAACAGAAACACCCCAAAATTATATTCCAAGTACCACTTCTGAATATTGAGGTCTAGAAACTGGGTCTTCATCTTTTACATTTCATGTATAGGTCTAGAAATTCCATCCCTAAACTTAACAATGATGGATGCCCAAAAGAAAAGAATGATAGGAGATTGAACACATATGCCGAGTACATCCTCTGGTCACTTCACAAGCTCGGCTTGTACAACTACGTACATTGAACCCTCTCACTTTTTTCCTCGAGAAGTATATATCAAGTCAGAAAACACGATTTTAGTGGGTTCGTGGACCACCAATAGTAGCTTGTCAATCCTTGCGGCCGCCGCGGCAGCCTGCAGGTGACTAATTTTCCTGTGCTCCCGCAGCCTATTCAGCTCAGGCTGTACCGGGGCTGATACAACTGATGCTTGCTCTTCTAGATATTAGGGAAGAACCATGGGACGGAAATTTACCAAAGAAAGCACGGGAGGGACGAAGGGAGGGAGCTACAGAACTACTTTCAGTGAGAAGGCACAGGAGATGTTTCCTATTTATAGCAAGGAGAGGTAAACTTGTTTGCCCAGGAACAATTATCATACTAGCGGAAGAGACGAAAAGAAGACTTGCTCTAGGCATGATTTGGGCAAGAAGAGAAATAAACGTGAATGTGCACGCTCATAATTTTTTCGTATGTCAGGATGAAAACAGTAAATAGACTAATAGAAGAGGCCAAAAAGCCTCATGTCAAGTGTGACTTGGGCACGGAGAGAGAACTACATGTTTACAGACTGACAATTTTATTGCACGTCGGGTAGTTATAGTAATAGGCGCCAAAAAAGGACATGTTTTAGGCATGACTTAGGCAAGGAAGATGCACATTGCTTACTTCTCAAATTGTAGTCATGCCTAAAAATGATAATTACATTAGTTGAAGAGAACTCGTTTTAGGCGTGACTTGGGCAGGTATAAGAAGATGCCTCTGCATATTGACAGATGTAGCTGACAAGGTAATTGGGTCAGTAGAATGGGCTTGTTCAATGTAACTAGGAAGTAGAGGAACAAATGATATTTGTATACAAACATCTTTGATGAATGTTGCCAGATGGTAATGAGACTAGTAGAAGCAGTCAAAAAGAAACACGTTTTTGGTGTGATTTGAGCCATAAGAGGAAGATGCAACTTTGTCCAGGGACAATTTCGGCACATATCAACACTAAAAAGGGTAGATAGGCTAGTAGATGAGGCCAAAAGGAATTATTTTAGTTGTAACTTGCCAAGGAGGGGATGATACATGTGATCGTCACAATCGTATCAAATGTTCCTACTAAAAATGCTGCTGAAACCAATACAAGATTGAAATATAAAATAAGGATAAACATCTTCTGCCTTGTTGACCTTCTACCCAATAGGAAGAGTTATAGGATAGAAAGATGGGGTGAAGAGAACATGTGTGTGGAGAACCAGGAGAGATTAGCAAGAGAGATTAGCAAGAGAGATTAGCAAGAGAGGTAAACATACTAAGGAAATACAAAGGGAGAAGGATCTACTTAAGTTAGAAGACAATGGATGTTGTGACACTGACGGCTCATTCCAATCTGGCGCAGAAGTCAACAGTAAACAAACATTAGACAACAAAAATATATATGCATGAGTAGCGTCTGCATTAATGTTAAAGGACAAGAAATATAGCCTTCTTTCTAATATGAGGATGTATGCGGCATGACAACAACAATTTTACCATATCTGGGCTAGAGAAAGGGTAGCAATACTAAAACAATGTCCAAAAAATTAGTGCACACAAATAGAAAGACAAACAGACTTGAGCAAATGTGGGAAATTCACATGTATAGGCATGGCATATGCATTTATATGTAAAAATTGATAGAGCTAGTTAACACATACACGGGTTTGATGTTCTGACAGACTCAAGACAATTGTTCAAATGGAAACATGAGGACACACTACTTGTGACTATGTGCGCGTACATATCTTATACGATACAATATGATATCAACAAGATAAACAGGAAAGAAAAATGGGGAAAATGATCTATGAAAGATAAATCCTGCAAGAAATAGTCCAATTTAAAATATAATTCATAGCCAAATCTAACCTGATAGACATACCATGCAACATGCTGGGGTCCATCTGCAGCAGAATAGATATCTATAACAGTCAAAAGTGATGCTGATCCTGTGAAGGAAAATAACATAAAATTATTAAATATGCATTACACATGCAAACATAAATGAAAAAAAAAAACAAAACAAAAGTAAAATAAACATTTTAAAAAATGAAGACTACATCGAAATTTTGATTGTATTTTATCTCAGATTATGTGTATGTTCATCATGTAGGAAATGTCTCATTTACAAGGTATAAAAATTAAGCTAAGCTACTTATTAATAGTGCACCAATCCTTCTCAAAAAAAAATAATAATAATGCACCAAGCAATACTAGTGAACTTTATTCTTCAGTTTAATCTTATCACCTTTGTAAATTTAAATAAATGGTTAGGCTAGGCCATCATATCGAAAGATCCGATTGATTGGTTCTTTGCTTGAGTTGATATGCTCAAACTTGACCAATATGTTGTATGCATTTTATTGTTCAGTGCCAACTCTAATGCGAAACTAATTATATTCATCATCTGTAAGCCTGCACATTTAGGTTGCATCTATGCTTAAGAATGAATTCGTACTTCGCAAACCGAAGCACATTGAGCTAATACATGCGGCTTCTGTTCTCCTCATACAAATAAACAGAAGAATATTTATATACTATTTACAATTCAAAATTAAGTATATTCGACATTGAAATGAATACAACAATTTCCTCAGTAATTATGATGACAATGGACTTTCTCAATTTGTGCCTAAGAGCCATTTATAGCAACATAACAGCATTACCATCTATCTTCGCAAAGAAATCCGATTAAACAGTGTTGAAAAAAAAAATTACATTCACAGCATCCCATTATAATCTACCAAGAAAAGTTTCCCTGCCATGGCATCGAATCTAAAATTTCAGGTATGGCATACGAACAAAGCATAAAATTCACATCCATTCTAGAAACTTTGAATTAATCCATTGAAGACAATTCAAACCTCTTCTCGAAACTTCAAACTAATGCACTGAACACAAAGAATTCAAATCTTCTCGAACCTTCGAATTCATTGAGTAAAGCCAAGAAACTTTAGCTATGTTCTATCGAGAAGATTCACATTCATGAACAAAGCATGCTCGCTACTCTATAAAAGGTTATGCATATTTGAAGATCTTGTTCCATTCACCAGAATCTCCTCCTTGCAGTACCTACCAGCAAACTAAAAGGTGATGCATTTTTCTGAGCCCTGACCAACAAAGAGCCACGGCAGAGCGATTCATCATCAACCATCAATGTCCCATACCAACCATACCTAATATAAAGGGATTAAGATAGTAGTCTTCTGCTTCTTTATAATTACTAACCAGCCCACGGAATGACTGAGAAATTCAAAACCAGGAGAAATTGAAGCCACTTCAGTGCAGGATGATGGGATTTTGTATCACGAGACTGATCTCCAAGACTGGCAAATGGCTCCAAAATGAATGTCATCCCAGAGGAAAACAAATTTTCTTTGGGAAATTTGTTTTGAAGAATTGACCTTCCATGTCTCCCAATTATTTTTCTTCTTACTATTATTGGCTGAAGTCTTGTATGGAAGCTTTGAGATCTTTGCAGGAACAGCTGAGGGTTTGTTTATCTCAAACTTCCTCTTTAGGCAGACCAGTGTTTTTATTGTAGAATTTGAGAAGGCAAAGATGGAGATGAAATAAACAGTGGAAACAAGTAGAACAGCAGGTGCATATACTTACAAATTGAGACGTCAATAGGAAATCCTTCTGGTTCTTGTTGGGAGTTGAAATCAGATTCATTATGCTCCACAAGTATTTTGGGTTTGTTTAGAGCCTGATCTATAGCTGAAGTGCTTTCATATTTCTGTTTAGCTTCAGGAAAGATATCCTTGGAAGCAGTGCTGGAATCATCATTACCATGAGAATGATTGTCCTTTGGAAGTGCAGCATTGTGTGATGGCCTAGAAACTATATTTTCAATGTCACAAGTTACCCTCCTCAATCTAAAAGTTTTTCACCTTGTTAATGTGAATGTTTCTGGCAATCCACTTGCATTGCTTTCTTTATTTGCTTGTACATATACGTTGTTAACTACAGTCTCACATGCAACGGAAACTTCTGAACGTACCCTTGATTCAGTTATAACTCAGGGATATATCCAGGCATCTGCAAGCCTCGTGAAATATCCCCAACTTTCTGAGACAATTCAGCATTCTTTGAATGCATGCATTCTGATAAAGACCCGAGCANTTCTCTGGAATTAGAAGTCTTGATTCATTCATAATATGTTGTAGAAATAGATCAAGTATCACATGGATGTCATTTGGTTTAAACAAATTTTATGACCACGATCCCCAATACAATCACCAGAATGCTTATTGACAAATCCTTCAAAAAACTCCTAACCACAGTTTCAACCTAGATTCTACACTTTCCATCATTCCTTCATGATCCAGGAAACCCGTGCATGGCAAGATTGATGATATTTTAACTTAGGCATAGAATGCCTCAAGTAAAATAGTAGGAGGGGAAAATAAAGAAATACATACTCAAACTTGATACATGTTTAAGTAGGATTCATGCGTCCAAACGTTGCAAGTTAAGATACAGCAAAGGTTTAAATAACATATCTGAAATTCCTGAGAGCAAAAGACATTCTCAATTTTGTTGAGATATTATTAGGACCATAAGAACAGGATCAGCTTGACTCTTGATTCAGAAGACTGCAAGTGAATTCCCCATTTACCAGTGCCAATTTCTCTGCCTTGGTGACAGCTTTAAGTGGTAGAGGGTTAAAGCTTCGAGACGGGCCATAGAAATGTGGGAAGAAGTTGGAGTCATCAGCTTTTTCATAGATCAATCCCTCCCCGAGCTGCAGAACAAAAGAAAATAAAGAAATGAGGTACATGAGAAATTTTAACCAAAATTGGACAAGATTCAGATGAGTACTTGAACTCATACTTCCAATGATTCATAGGGAGTGGACCAAATTGTTGGTTGGTTTGCGTTTCAATGAAATAAACATAGGTAACAGCTATGACTTCGATAAGGTTTTTCGCACAATTCAGAATCAAAGTATAAAGAGAAAATATATTGAAATTTCTTAGGTGGCTTCTAAATCTGGGTCCAGCAACCTCCTGGTCGTCTTACCATACATATGTACCTTAGACTCATAGGTTTTAGGTTCACCAGATGTTTCAAAATGAACTCTTTGCTTCAGCTATTCATATTTTATGATATACCCTATGTCCATCAGCCTGCAAATTATATCCTGTAATGACTAATCTAAATCATCCAAGCTTTTTGCCACAAGAGTAATATAAATATATATACACAACAGATATGGACATGCAATCAATCTTATATATCAGAAATCCAAATTGAAAATTGCTATTAACAAATCAGCAGAATTCTTTTATTGAGTTGTTTTTAGCTCCAGAGTTATAACATCCATTATTAGCCTAGGTATATAAAGGGTTTAGGAAAGGCAAGATAGATAGATAACTTATTAGTAGTTTGTTTAGATCATTTCATGTCTAAAGGTTATCATTTATGCCAAAAGGACACATCATGAGCAAAAGAGTTGCAAGAAAAGTGCTGCATAAAAGACCACAGGAATGGAGATCAGAAGTCTTGAAAGGAAGTTCAAAAGCTAAAAAGAAAAGAAAGTGATCGACTTGAAGAACAGTTATGTTTTTGAATTATAGATAGGCTTGTATTAGTTAAGTCTTGTATATGCATGACTATTAACAGCAGACTTGTATCAAGATGACTCTTTAGCATGGTCCTATGCACTATAGTTGTCTTCAGCATTCCTCCCAACTGACAGCTTAGTTTACTAGCTTCACAATTCCCGCCAAGGGGAAACTGACACGCATAAGGTGTAACAGAGTGTAAAGGTGTTCGAGAGTTCACCGAAAGTCAATACTAGAAATTTATGACATATACAAGTCAAAGTTAAAGAAAGCCAAAATAATTGCGTTTTGAAGAACCAAAGTGATAATAAGGAAAGGGTTGATGCCTGCATACCCCCCAAATCTATCGTATTTGCAAATTTAGGCCCCAAAGTCAGATGATTTGTCAATTTATCTCTACATTCTTTAAGATGGAATTGAAAACCCCTCAGATGGAATATACCCAGTATATTTCACCATATTTTGTTAAAAGTTCAAATATGTTTAAAATAAGACAAATTTATACCTAGTAAATTCAATTTACTTAGTGTCTCACTAATTCTAGAGATGGAAAGAGAGGGGAAAGGGGTTCATCAGTGACAATCCTCATCATCACCGATGAAAGAGGGATTTGAGCGGCATGGAGGGGGGTTCAATGGTGGTGAGTGGTCAGGCCTAGGTTCAAGAGAGAGATATGAGAGTGGGCACGGAATTGCGAGGACAATCCCCACTGCTGTAGACAAGAGAGCGGGGTACGGCAACGTCTAAAGTGGTGTGAATTCCAAGTTTCGATCAATGAAAAGAAATCAATATCTGATCTAACATCTTATGTAGTGTTGTGAGTCTTTCAGGAGCTAAAATACAAAAACAAAGCTATATCCATATGGAGCTATAATTCGTCAATATTCAAGAGACAAAAAGACTCCACTTCAGCAAATTTACAAGACTATTTCAAGTATGAAGCTTAAGACCTATTGAGTTTTGTGTGTCTTATAGTTATACGTAAAATCTTTGTGCAGCTTATTAATCAATAAGTAAGCCTTGGCACTCAAGATTTCGCTCATGCAAAGTTGGAAGCCCAACTTACTCAGTGATTCACCCATCCAACAACTATTCTTGACACCCAATTTCTACTCTGATTTTGAGCGTTAGATTCACTTTTCAATGAAAATTTCAAATTCCCGCCAGTTTCATATTTCAGCCATCTTTGATTTGGGGAACGAATTGGTCTCTCTTGGCTGAGGGTGACTAGGCATGTAATTTGACTTTCCCTTTTTTTCATTAGCCAAAATCACTTCCATGAAAACCCTTGCATTTATTGCAAAGATTATAACAGTATTATCAACCTATGTTTTAAATCTTGGATGCCGAGAATAAAACGGACGAAAAAATTCCATATCAAACAGCAGTTGAGGATATATTGGTGACATTTACTAATATCGGGGTGTCAAATCGTATAATATGTAGACATAAATCATAAATGTTCATATTTGATGCACCAAAGAATGGAACTATGGGAAAAGGTGGTATTTTTTGCAAAACTTTTGCACAAAAATCTGGTCTCAATTCAGCCTTAATTCTTCTTTCTGATTATTTACATTACATAGGCAGATATTTGTTTGGTTTAGACCTCAATTGAACCATAAGCCCAAACAACTCTTCTAAAACAAATAGAAGTCTAAGTCGACATTACAACATTTCAGCCAATCTTTTTGAGGCCAAAATATCCCCTGATATATCACAGGAAAACCACGATATATAGCACAAAAATTGCAAAAAGCAATAAAAGCTATTGAGACCATATTGTTTTGCAGCAAGCCTATAAAAGGATATATCGACCGATATATCAGTCATATTGGGGATATTCAAATCAATGCATTAAATGTCAATCCCATCCAAATATCTCATTCCCTTCTTATTAGGACATGGGTTTGTTTCTCTCCAACAGAAACAAAATTTTCTACCATTGAACATTTATTCAAACAGTCTCTTGGGTCATTCACTCTCATATTTATATCTCATGATTCACTTCATTGAAGTATAACTCATTATAGAGAAAAACATTCCATGGTTTAAAGTTTCATTCTCCGATTACTCGCTGCTCCAATCTCTCATTTAGCTTCAACTTTAAAATTCATTGCAAAGACAATCTTGAGTTCTTGTGCAATTCTTAAGCTGAAAGTCAACCAAATCAAGGCATTCTATTCTTTTTTTAGTGCCAAAGTTGATAGGTGCCTCAAAATTTGTATTTTGGTTGATGTAACGCGTGCTGAAGTGCTAAACTGAGTTTTATCTTTGTATCTATGGCAAAAGAGCAAAAACTCAGTTGCTTGTATTTACTCTTCGTTGGGAAGAGAGATTTGTCCTATTCACTCTTAGTATAAAGTGGAATAGAGGCTGGAAGTCCAAGTTCATGGGTTGGAAGGCTGGCAAGTGTACCCACTTGGACTTTGGAGGAGAAGTCACATAACAGTGTATTGGTGAAGTCCTAGGTGCGGCACTGCATAGGTAGATGTAGCCCAGTTAAAGGTGAACCACTTCATACATCTGTTTATGATCAGTGATATCTCTATAGTCTTTATTCCTTGTTTATTTCAGTGTACTAACAATCTGCTGCAGAGATTCCAACTTTTGCTACGCCTACGGATCTCCAACTCAACACTGTGTCAAAATGTAGTTAGCATTTTTTTTAAGAAAGTGAAATTTGTATATGGGAGAATTGGGATAAATTAGCAAATATCTATATTTGCAACAAAAACCCATAAGAAAAATGAATGAATTATAAAAGCCAATACCTAACTAAATCAGGATATCCTCAACACAAGTCAAATCTCCGGTCCCAAGTGAATAAGCATGCCGGGCATGAATATCAGCCATCAAGTTATGAAAGCCAACTTCAGTTATAGACATCAAATTTAAGAAGAGAATTTTAATAGACAATTGAATTAATGAAACCGAAAAAACAATATTCTTGTATAATAAAAATACAGAAATCAAACTGCCAAATTGCTAAACCTTAAAATAGAAAGATCAAGACTTCACCTCTGAAGTAGCTACTTGGAGCAAGAACAAATCATCCCTGCCCTCAAAAAAGTTGTTCAGAGTCATCTTCACCTGCAAAATATATCAAATTTCCAGACAAGCCCATGTCTCAAAATGATGAACGGAAAACACCCATTTGAAAATTTTACGAATTTTTGTGAGATTTTCAAGTTTATAACATTCTTGAAATCTTAGGGTTAGGTGAATTGAACCTGATGGAGGCTGCTGAGGTGAATGCAACCAGTAGATCGATCGATTTCTCTACCGAGAGTTGTGCCAGTATTCTGCAGCTCTTCCCATTCATCGACGGGGCTGATTCGATACACGAACTCCTCTTTTTTCTCGTCAATCGCCGCCATTTTCGCTCAATGGACGAGCTAAGAATTCTCCTATGTTGATTCGGTTAATTATTGGGGACTTTTTTCAATATTTCTCCCACATCTCGTTCATTTTTTGTCATTAGTCCTCCACGTCTTCGTATTTTCAATTAGTCAGTCAAATCATTCATGGGAATTCGCACCTAGTTAAGGAACACTAGAGAACATAAGATAAGTTAAGGAAAAGTAAGAAAATATGCAAAACTTATTCAGAAAATTAGTAAGAAAAGTCAATGCGAACTTATTTCATCTCATTTAGAAAGTATAATAAAGTGAAGAAAATGTAAGCAAATATATGTAAATTTATATTAATACCTTACACGCTTTTTCATCTATTTGAATCTCATCTTGATATATGGATAAAGTATCTTTGTGTAAAATTCTTTTTTTTAAGAGTTACATTCCCTAGCCTTCCCTTCCATTACACTCCAATTTGAGGGGAGGGGGAACAAAATCCAAAGTTTTTTCCCCTCTGTTACCTTAACTTTCCCCTCATTAATTGTCTCAAATGATTTCTCAAACAAAGATATGTATCCCCTACCTTCTCTGTATTCACATTACCCCCAATCCAGACAAGCCATTAGGCCCCGTTTGCTACGCAGTAATAGGGTAGAATGGAATGTCATTCTCACTTCTCATTCCCTCATACCAAACAAAACTTGTTTTTAGTTGTTGGAATGTCATTCCTACTTTTTGTGGGAATGGACATTCCAAGTAAAAAGATAGGGAATGATCATTCCCATTCAAGGGGAGAATCAAATTAGTTAGGTTTTTTTTTCAATTATACCCCTATTAATAATAAGAATCAATTTAAAAATCATGGCTTTTAACTAAGTATTCTCATTTTCTCTCAGCTACTAATTATATTCGAACAATAGGAATTTTTTACGGGGTAGGGATTAAAACTAGTGGTACATATTTCAGTAGCATATTAAAACTAGTGGTACATATTTCATTAGCCTATTATATCACAATTGCTCAACATAGGAGCAACACAATTTAATATAAGCCTATTATATCACAATTGCTCAACATAGGAGCAACACAATTTAATATAAAAACAGATACAACTGAAATTATATATTATTTGCCGATTGAAATTCTTTCATGTCAATTTTTTTTTTGTCATCAAATTTTTTTGTTTATTCACTAATGTTTAAAGTATGTTATTTTCATCAGCATATTATATTTTTTTTGAACTTTTGCTATTGTTTTCCCACCATAGAGAACTATATGTACCCATTGCGTACATGTTTGATTGTGGTTCATGCACACCAATAAATCTCATGCACAAGAATAAATCTAACTTTTGATTGAAAAATATTTGACCCAATATTTATGAAAAGAGGAAACTCTCGCTGAGAAATTGGCCAAAATATTAAAATTATCAAAACCATATCATTTCTAGACTATATATAGAGGTATAAGGGCATTATTATAACACATACCTAGATTAATATAACATATGCAGAAATAGTGAGAATTGTTTAAAAAATATAAACGAAACATACACCTGATCGATAACATGCGCATTAGTATAACACATACCTAGATTAATATAACATATGCATAAATAATTTTTTTAGTTATTATCATTAATGTTTATTTTTATCTTATTAAAAATCTATGTTGTTATAAGGGCATTATTAGAAAATGAGATTTAATTCTCACTTGTGAACTAGTGATACCAAACATGGGAATGAGAATTAGATTTTCATTCTACCTTCATTCTACAAACGCACCCAAAGAAGAGAATGTGAATGACCATTCCATTTGCACATACATTTCATTCCATTCCTTCTTCCATTCTATTCTCACTTGACTTCGTTCCCACGTACCAAACGAGGCGTTAGTGTAATACCAGTTATACACTTATGCATTCAAACTTACGGTTAGCAACTAGTCAAAATTGAGGCAATATTCAGTTTGTCTTAACATTTTTTGATGTAGTACTAGTTCTACGCTAATGCATTCAAACTTATGGTTGATTTGAGTGTTGATTTTTGGGAGACCTTTATTGTGTCTTGAAGCGGGAAATGAAAGAGGAAAACTGAAGATTGTCGGATTATTTTTTCATGAGGATAATTTGGTAATTACCTATTCTTGGTTAATCTCTAATTCAGCCTGGTTAACAATTTCGATAGCAAAATGTATAAGAGGACTTAAATTGAAAACTCTCAAAATGTGGATGTTTTGGAGACTAATTTCAAAATATGAAAGAGTTGTCTTTTAACGAATGTGTTGCAATAAATTGGATAATTGGGCTAATAGATTTCTTACAGACACCTTTCTCGCTTATATTGAGAATGAACTTGTAGAAAATTTTATGACCTACATAATTATAGAGGAATTTAATTTCATAAAGTGTCACGCATCTTTCTTAAGAAGAGCATTATCTACTTCTCTTTCTTTTACATTTCATATGTACATAGTATGAAACTAGATTGGATGCACGTGCATTGCACGTGGTTAAATATCATTATCTTTTTTTGTTCTATTTTCTTACTTAACTCGGTTGTGAAATATTTCTTTTGACTTCACGTGAAAACGTAAAATAATTTATTGTATATATACTACATAGTTAATCAAAAGTATTAAAATTACCATAAACAAAGTCAAAATTATACGGTCAATTCACATTAAGTACAATTTACAATATCTATTACATGAATGTCAAAATCCTTTTATAAAAAAATAATTTTTATGTAAATAATTTTATTCTCATCTCAATACAATGTTTTCATCTTATAATATGCATGAATTCACAGTATTTTATACTCTTTTAATTTTAATAATTAATTTTCACTTTAATGTTATATCCCATGAGGCTAATAATTTCCTCAGGAAAGATCATATACTAATTGCCATGGATCTTAACTATAACAAATTTTCCAAGGTAATACTATCATACTCTATATGTTTATGTTCTGGATTGTCAAAGCAAGCTATGAAATAATTAATTAAATGTTTTTCTTGGTAGAGTAACTTGTTATTTTTTGAGACATAAAATTACTTTAAAGATAACTTTGACTATTTCACATAACAGGAGATTTGCCTTCATGTCTTTAAATTATGTTAATTATTTTAATGAGCATGAGATTCCTATTTATTTGAAGATCCTTCTCCATTTCATTCGATTACTCTTGTATTTTTGAACCTTTTTTAGTTCAATTGCCTTGGTTACACCTTCTATCAGGACTCATCTCTATTTCATAGTATCTAATGGAATTTTGAACTTTTTAGCTCAATTGCCTCAGTTACACCTTCTATCAGGACTCATCTCTATTCATAGTATCTAATGGTCAGTGTTACTCTGATAAGATGTAGTTATTCTAATTCAAGTCTGTCAAAATAATTATAAATGGTGAAGACCCTAAATCTTTTGAAATGATATATATTAAATATCTCATAATAAAATATCAAAAAACTTAAGCAATACATATTTGAGTAGTTTTACTCACATAATTATTTTTAACCAACATACCTATTGAACATCTCAAGGGCTCGCAATTGGTGAAGACCCTAAGTATTTTAAAATATCTTTTGAAATGATATATATTAAATATCTCATAATAAAATATCAAAAAACTTAAGCAATACATATTTGAGTAGTTTTACTCACATAATTATTTTTAACCAACATACCTATTGAACATCTCAAGGGCTCGCAATTGGTGAAGACCCTAAGTATTTTTAACCAACATACCTATTGAACATCTCAAGGGCTCGCAATTGGTGAAGACCCTAAGTATTTTAAAATATCTTTTGAAATGATATATATTAAATATCTCATAATAAAATATCAAAAAACTTAAGGAATACATATTTGAGTAGTTTTACTCACATAATTATTTTTAACCAACATACCTATTGAACATCTCAAGGGCTCACAATTGGTGAAGACCCTAAGTATCTTAAAATGATATATATTGAACATTTAATGATCAAAACATCAGAAGAACTTAAATATGGCTAAAACTAATTTATACCACTTTTCGTGTGTGTCTATAAAGTATAATATTAAAAATGTAAAATATTTCAAAAAATGCATTAAATTGGAATTTAGTTTCAAATTAGGAGCCCTTATTTGAGTAATTTTATATACATAATTCTTTTTACTTATCATACACATTGAACATTTTAAAGGCTAAATATCCAAGTTTTTACTTTTCAAAGTACTTTTTTAGTCATAAAAAATTAAAAAAAAAACTTTTCCACTAAGTTGGTTGCATATAGTAAAATGTTGCATTTTTCCTATTTGATATAGTCAATTATTAAGCAAACGATATATCTCATGTTTAGTGCAGATAATTATGCGAATAAAGTAAAATATTTTAAAGGCTAAATATCAACAAAATGACCCCCATTAACTTTCGATGATAATCAGATAATCCCGCATAACTTTAAGAATATCATAATATCCACTAAATTTTAGGGGTTATCAAAAAACCCTTTAATTTTGAGATTTTATCAAGGAAACCACTCTAAAAGCGATAATCTTAAGGGAATTTTCTGATAAAATCGCAAAGTTGAGGGGCTTTTCTGATAAGATCTAAAAGTTAAAAAGGGTTTATCATAATCACTACTTAATAAGATTTTATAATGTTATATCTAAAAAATATTGGATTAATTTTAGAAAAACCTCCTCAACTATTTTAATATGAGGAAACTCCTTCAAGTTTAAGCCTATTGCAGATAAACCCCCTCAATTATGACAATCCTCAAAATTAACATCATTAATTCATGTGTAGTCAAATGATCAAAGTACACCCCCAATATCCCAATAAGTTTTACGTTTTTTTACTTAAGCCACAATAATTTTTTAGCAAAAAACCCAAAATAATGATCGTTTATAATTTTTAGATATTTTCAAAGGTTTGTTTGTACTTATTGGAATTTTCAAGAGGTTGATGGTAATTTTTAGATTTTAGAGAGGTTTTTGTAAGATGTATGATTTTTCGAAGGGTTATTTATAGTTTTTATAATTTTTTAGGTTTTTGTAATCTTTTTAGGTTTCTTTACTGTTTTCTAACTTAAAGGGTCAATTTATTATTTTTAATATGTTTAAGGGGTTGTTTGCAATTTAAATTTTTTAGGATGTCATTTGT